AATAAGTCAGTCACAAAAAGATAACTACTGTATAATTCCACTTATGTGAGGTATCTAAAGTAATCAGATTCATAGAAATGAAAAGTAGAATGGTGATTGCCAGGGGCTGGGGTAAGGGCAGAATTGGGGAGTTGTGTTTAATCAGTATAGAGTTTCAGTTTTGCAAGATGAAAAATTTCTACAGATCAGTTGCACATAAACAATGTGAATATACCTAACACACTACTGTACCGTATACTTAAAAATGATAAAGATGGTAAATTTTATGTTATGTTTTTTACCACAATTAAACATTTTTAAAAAGGAAAAAAAAAATTGATTCTTCTTCACTCAAAAGTCATTCCTATAGAAACAGGCGGCCAGCCCTGTGGGCTATAGTTTGCCACCCTTGGCCCATGGATGGCCAGCCTGAAGGCAAAACGATGATCCAAATCAATGCTTCTCAAATGTCCCCACTGAAAGGCCTCTAACGACACAAAAGGGAGCATGCAGATTCCCACAGGGGCCTGCCTGCAAGTCTATAAATTTCTTTTAAATACCTTTCAAATGAAGTTCATAAAAGTTTTTGAATCCTAGTCCATAACATATTGTTTTAATGTAAAATTGGCATTAACTGTAAAAATCTGTAAAAACTGATGCTCACTCAAGCTCAGAGAGGGTGAATGACTTAGTCGAGGTCACATAACTAGAACGAGTCAGTGTGGGACTGGATCTCAAAATTCCTGATTCCAAATGTCTACTTCCCACTCAAGTGGGCCGCCTTCTCGTCAGGCTTTGGCTATTCATTCCCAGCTCCTACCCATATTCCCCCAATACTGAGGCAATCTTCAAAGTAATGATGGGAAACCACTTTTGAATTTCTACTAAAACTCATCAATGCATAAGTTTAACACCTTCAATGCATAAGTTTCATATATTATTTGTTCTATGTTCTAGAATATTTTAGTTTGATATGTTCCGAAACTCCTTTTTTCTCCCGCTTTATCTAATATGCTTCCTCATCCAGGTGTATTTTTTTAACCTTTCAGAGCAACCCAATTGAAATTATGAGGGACCTGAGGTATGTGCTATTTTGTATATACAGCATCCATTTTCTCTTGTGTCATTTGTTCAGATTTCTCCCTTCCCTCCCCATTCTTCTCCCTGTCCCATTGACTTTGCCATACGACTGCTTTCCCCAATGGATTGTGAGTTGAAGGCAGAGTGTGCTGGTCCTCAGCAGAGGTGTTAAGAGGCATCATGTGTCTCCACTCACTTCGCTTGAGTTCCTGTCCTCTTAGAGAACCACCTGTGCCAAGTCAAGTCTGTCCTTTCAGCCTGAGTCCAAGGATGAGAAAATGTGTAAAGCAGATGTGAATTCAGCTAACCCAGACCCATTTGTTGTAAGCCATTAAGTGTTGGAGTGGTTTGTTACATAGTATAATTCCCTTCTTTTAGAACCAGTGGTTGGATTTTCTTCTGGAGACCTAGCCCTCCTCCACTCCTCATCCACAGGGTTTGGTTGGGCTGACCATCCTGCACTCTGTCCCAAGCACCCTTGTCACATCCCACTAACTCCAATCTCTGTAAGATCTCTACTGTTCTTATCAACGATGAGAGGGCCTCACTTTTTGGACCAGCAGAAATGAATGACGCTAGGCCCCATCACCTGCTATCAGGGGCTCTAGAAGAAATCTTACTCATAACCCATACATTCCTAACTCCTGTCTGTTTTACAACGAAAGCATAGAAAGAGGACTGTGGATCAATACAATATTAAATGCCACGCCTCTGGGCTGCTTTTTGATAGTGGGAAGTAAAGTATGGAAAAAAATTGCAGTTGTTATGGACTGAATGTTTATGTCTCAAAATTCGTGTCGAAGCCCTAACCTCCCATGTGATGGTATTAGAAGGTGGGAACTTTGGGAGGTAATTAGGTTTACATGAGGTCATGAGGGCGGGGCTCCCATGGTGGGATGAGTGCCCTTTATAAGAAAAGACACTAGAGAGTTTGTTTCCCCTCTCTCTCCATCCACCTGTGTGCACTCAGGAAAGGTTATGTGGGGCCACAGTGAGAGGTGGTTATGTGTAAGCTAGGAAGAGGGTCCTCATCAAGAACTAAATCAGCTGGCACCTTGATCTTGCACTTCAGCCCCCAGAACTGTGAGAAATAAATGTCTATTGTTAAGCCACCCAGTCTATGGTATATGTTATAGCAGCCTGAGCTAAGACAGTAGTTTTCCCTTAGAACACAAAGGAGAAAAGCTGCGGACACCTAAAAGTAAAAGTTATTCCTGTGTGGTGAGGAAGAGTAGAGTCATTCATGTGAAGAGCGGGGAGTATGGCACGGCCAGTCTCAAACACCAGAACAACTTGAGAGCTCTTCATTTGGTATGGGAAGTGGTAGAACCACCAGCAATTGTTTCTGAAGGGCTTTAGACAAGGAGGCATTTCTTCAAAAATAATTAAACAGCCTGATGAAAACACATACACTTTTCCTCTCTTCCATATTAGGATTCTACAAAGATTTGTTGTAAAACAAACAAACAAACAAAAATAATAAAAAGCATGAGAGCTTCTGGTTTAAAATACACTTATGTTTGGCTTTGTCATATGCTTTTAAAAATAAAGCAACGTGGTGTTCTCGACTGCATGTATGAGATTCTCCCCCTCTCCCTGCCCCCATCCATAAAGATAATAAAATAAGTTTATATTCTCCTAGTTCCTAGCTTGCTGGATCACACAGGGACACGGAGTGAGCTCCGCTGAGTGACAGCAGAAGCAGACTAGGGATTAAAACGATAATCCCTGAAGTGGAAAATTAGCTGTGGGAAATCAGGGGTTGGTGAAGGGCCCTTTGCGCCATACCTTCTCTTCCTGCTCTTCTCTCCTACCTTGCCCCAGCCCCCACACCTCAGGCTTTCCCTTCCTTCTCAGAGGTCTGGTGGGCCTCGTCCCACGCTCAGTGAACTATCTCCACTAGCCGGGATGCAAATGCTGTGAACTTGACTGTCCTTTGAGTCAGGTGCTCTGACAGGTGCTTATGGGTAGGGAGCTGGTACTAACTAGATACAACCAGATATAAAATACAACCCTGACTTTTAGAGACCCACAGCTAGTAAACAAATAATATTTTGGGAAGATGGCAAAGATAAACATATAAACAAGTGAAGAAGTCTTAGAATGCGGTCATTTAGAAAGGACTCACACCCTAACCCCAGGGAACCTGACTTAATTGGTTTAGGTTATGTACGGAGACCAGTAGTTTTCAAAACAGTCCCCCAGGTGATTCTGACAATAGCCAGGGCTGAAATCGTCCCCACGCCTACGGAATCTAGAACTGTGGTGGCTGAGGCCAGGCAACCAGTGTTTTAACAAGCCCTGCACGTGATTTGGGAACCACTGGTCTGCGCTGCTAAGGAGTGGAGGCAGGGAAATGGAGGTCCCCAGAAGGTGGGCAGTTGGGATTGGAGCACAGGGCTGGGGATGAGGGGCTCCTCCGCGGGGACCCTCCTCCCTTCTCTCAGCCTAAGGACAGTGGACAAGTTCGCCTGTCAGAGCCTGGCCTGAGCCCTCTGGGGTGGGCCGTCCAGTTTTGAAGCCACAGAGCCTCTCTTTAAAACCTGTCACTCGGCCGCCGTGGTCGCAGCTAATATCTCTCCGGAGCTCCTTGGCGGGCAGGAAAGGGTGGGCCCGTGGCAGGCCATAGCGAACGCCAGAAAGGTCTCCTCCCGGAGAATCCAGGCTTCCAGTTTATGGCTTCTCATCCTTCCCCCCCAGAGTGGGCCCCCTACTCTGAGCGCTGGCTTTTCTGTTTGTTTGTTTAAATCCCAGGCAGGAACTATGTACATCCCTAGAAAGAAATCGTGCCCACTTTTCGGTACATCCAATATCTTGTCCCAAGCGATCCTAAGCAATCATGCCCCCACCCAGATCAGCCCTTTGCCTAGAACGACCAAACCCCGAATCCCAGTCACGATGCCCTCCTGCCCTACAGTTCTTTCATCCCAGCGGACAGAAAATAGCAAGTCCAGCGGCTTCCCTACATCGGGCCTCCCCACCTAGGCCATCTGGGCAGGGCTCGACCCCACTCCAGTGCGATCCCCGGCGCAGGGAGCCCCAAGAAAGAAAAGGGGTCTTGGGTTGCACTGAAACCGAGGGTCATCCCCCGGGGTGTCTGTGACAGCTTCCCTGGGTTTTTGGCGGAGTTGCACCCCCGCCGCCCGTGGGGAGGGGCTGCGGCCGCTTGGAGACGCAGAGGGTCTGGTGGCTCCTCCCCTGGGGTGGCCGAGCAGGAAGC